AATAAACGGAAGTATTTTTGTGTGAAACGTTGGGTGACAATACCAAAAAGCAGCTATAAAATGTGTAGAAAATATATGCATTTCTTGCATTAATAATTTATTTATAAAACTATTTAGAATTATGTTAATCGTTTATTTTACAAACTTTAAGAACTGAGGTATAAAGTTTATTAAATAAAGAACATATCAAATTGACCTAATTGGGATTTACCATTAAGATCTGACCATATCTAAATAAATTATTGGACCTTACTTATATAAATGTTTACAAAATTCTAGTCTCTCTAATGATTTTCAATAATACTCTCAGCTTTTATTAGAATAATTTAAATAAGTATTTAGTTAAAAATATAATATAGTATATACTATGTATTTAAATTTGTAACTTAAGTGTTCTTTAATACTGCAAGTACTAAGGGTTGAACTCGTACCCTGCCAAATTTGAAACTCAGAGTCAGCGTTCATTAACCAACGTTCATGAACTTTAAACCTCACTACTAAATACTATAGTTTCTTTTAAGTAAAATAGTCAATTCTGTCACGATTGTCGTTTTATTACAACCATAATTTTAGAAAAAATCCATTTGAGTTCTATTAAAAAACTTAAAGTTCTTATATTTTTAAGATAAACAATAGGATTAATTAGGTTATTATGGTGTTTATAAGTATTATATTATTATAAGCGAATAAAAAATACTCTCTTCATCTTCCTTACAGTTATTGAAGTATTAAGTAGAATTTTCAAACACCTCTTATAGTTGCCTAACGTACTTTAACCCGTCAACTAACCTATATTCAAACTGGTATCTTTACAGGGTATACATTAAGATTGTTTTATTGCTATATTGAAGAAAAATAACAATGTATTAAGAACATGCCTAAAATCACAATTTTAGAAAGTTGAAAACGTCGCTGTAATGAAATTTTAACTAATTAGATTCACAAAAGGTAATTAGCATTTTACACGATTCCTATTATACATCTATTAGGTATGGCATATAGTCATTCAGGTTATCCTAAGCTAATGTCTATATTATGCATAAATTTTAAAAGAAGCTATTATCTGTTTTAGGTTTTATTGATGGTCAAGCATTTAATTTTATTTCCGTCGTTAAAATAAAAAAATTTATAACTTATAAAATGAATACTTAAAATTACTAAAATCAATCAGAAATATATAAAAATTTTAATTTTAACATATAAAAGTGAACAGTTAAAAATTTAAATAAAACCTTTCAAATCCTCGTTTTGAATTCTTTGATATTTATATTTGTTAAAAGTTATTAGTATCTTTTAGATATTAAAATCTGATTTAAGTTAACTATTTGAATGAAAACTAAAATTACTTGATTAAAAATATGTTAATAAAGATTTTAACGCTATCTATTTATGTAAAAATTATGTGATCGGTTTGATCTATGAACTTTAAAATCAAGTGAAAGGTGTACACAAATAGGGAAAGCTTTTTTTAATAATGAAAATAGAAACTTAATTTTCAAACGAAGTCTATGTATGGATGATTTAATATGCAAATGTACAGGATACAGCACTTTTTATAAAATCCTCGCCCAAATCGAAAACATGTTTAGCAACTCATAGTGCTTATATTCCGTATTCCGCCGAGAGTATTAGCTGCACTGAAGCCAACTGTAACCTCATGTGCTTAGTTTGGCATACATGTCTTGGCAAAACCACTTTTAAGTTCAACGACTTTAATTGTAGGTCCATGTCTTTCTATATGATTACTGCCTATTGCATCATAATAATTTGTCACACTTAAATTGAAAACTAATTTTTGGAATATTGAACATTTCTTGCCCATAATGGTGTATTCCAGATTAGTCAGATTCGAATCTGACTAATATGTATTTCCTTAAATTATTTGTCAATGCTAATTTTTATATTTATGAAATATATAATAAATCATTATGTACATATGTATGTACATTTCTAGGAATGTGCATTGCAGTATGTTAAATGACTCGAACGTCAATAAATTTTCAATAAACAAGATTTATGTTGCGTGTCTGAACCTGTTGCATAAATTTTAGTTCGCGTGTAAGAGTGACATTTATATCTCACTTTTGTGTTCACCATTCTGTATCCGGAATAAACACCTCACAAAACTATTTGTTACCTCAGCGCATTAACTAAAATTGTAAGAAACTTTTTTACTTTTACATTCCAGTTTTAATGAATCAACTAAATGTTTTATTTTAAATTTAATTCTGCAAACAGAATAGTATAAATTTATATAAAAAATAAAAATATAATAAATTAATTAAATTATTCTACAGCTGGTTTATGATTTCGTTTTAATATAAACATTGCAAGTGAATTTGTTAATATAAACTTTCACAGCAAATTAACAAAACTCCAGAAAAAATGTGCGAACATAAAAGTTAAGTACGGTTTTGAGTCGGTAGGTTAAGGAGCGCTGATTCTGAGCTTAAAATCTGGCATGGCACGTGTGCGATTACTGGTATTTGCAGTCTCAAAAAATTATTTATGAATAATTAAATATAAGAAATAATTCCAAAATTACTGATAATGAGTCTTCGGCAATACATTAAACAGCTGTATGGTTAGCCAAAATTTCAATTAATTAAAATAATATAAATAAATTTGTTGTTGTAGTTTTCGAAAACCTCTTTATTAAATTTAATTCAATCCTACTTTTCGAAAACTTCTTTATTAAATTCAATTCTATTATAGTTTTTAAAAGACTTTTTTTTATTGTTTTACAGTTTTCAGTATTATCGCAAAAATGTTTTGTTAATTGCACAATTGAAACCTCAACTGAAGCAGATGAGAAATCAGTATACAATGAAACAACAACTGCCACAACATTTACAGCAGTTGCGGAGAAATTGGTGCGATTTCGTCGACAGCCGTCAATAACTATCGTGAAACATGTTAGTCGTTCAACAAAGCGCACAAAACCACGGTGGCATATCAAGAAACCTAAACTAAAATATGGTCCACCTAACTATAGCTATGGAGAACCTATTTCCTATTTCAAACCAGAACAACCAGTAACAGATTTTGAATCCCCACCTACTTTTTCTATGCATGATTTTGAACATATAAATTTGGATGCTGCTGACTTTCAACTACCTCCTTCCAGTTATGATACACAGCCAATGGATTTAGATTTTTATAGTCAAATGGATGATAGTCTCGATATTCCCAAAGAAAAATACACACACTTTCAAACTGAACCTGAAAAACCTTCTTATTTATATGCTCCACCTAAAACAGAATTTAATTTACCAAGAGTTCCTCATAAAGCTTATGGTGTTCCAAACCAATATGATTATAATACAGATATTAGTACAGATTTTGATACAATATTTGAAGGACAACATCCATCGCCTACCATAGATACTAATTATAGTCCACCTCAAGTCACAAATGGACAACCATTTAAAATAAATAAAGGTACTGCATATGACTTTAAACCAACGAATTCTTATGAAGAAGATAAAGTCTATCAATCTCCACCTATTGAAAACACTCCACCAAAATTCTTAGAAAATACAAAATACATGCCATCGGTAACAGTAGCAGAAAAATATGTACCAATACCAATTCAAACTGGGTATAAAACTAATACCGACAGTCAACAGAAGTATGCCACCGGTTCTTCTTCTGATTTTAAAGGTGAACACAAGAAACACAATTTTAATGAAAATTCTTTCAATACAGCAGATATTGAAATAACTTATTCACCTTCATTTGAAATAAATATACCGCCCAAAGATAATCACTATCCAAGTAGTAGTTACGGTTCTTCCGACACTACTCAACATCAACCAGGTAATTTTGCAGAACCACCTGCTGCTTCACCGCCCTCCTACCAAGCACCTGAACATGTTGATATACCGTTTCAACCAACAGCACCGCAGCCCCAGCCTGGACCTTCAGAAGATTATGTACCACCATCACAGGAACTACCTTTAAATCCTAATCATAAACAACCCGCATATGACTTTCCAAAATCTAGTTATGAAGTACCAATTTACGATCCAATACCATTTGATGCTTCCAATAACGAAGAGCAAGAAGTTTATCCACCACATTTACAAGATGGTTCTTTTAGTGTTTCAAATCCTTCAACAATAAAAGATACAAAACCTTTTGTTGACGAATATCAACCAGAACAATCCGAAACTGTTTCAAATGAATTGGATAGAACTAATTTCAATACTGAATTGGATATAAATGCAACAGAAAAATCAACACGACCCAGACGTTATCATAAAAGAAAACAATCTAATAGTAGAAACAAATCTAGCTCAAAACATACTTTAGATGTTCCTGAGCTAAAAAAAGCTTTTGAAGCAGAAAACCAAGAAAAATTACATCATACAAGATCAAATGACTCAAAAGGTGTTGAAATAACTCACAAAAATAAACAACATTATGTTTTTAATGGTGAAAGTAATGCACCTCAAATATGGAATCCAATGCGTATACGTACTTCACAACGTATAAATTTCACACCTACAACTGTTTCTATTGTTAATGATAAGACTTCTTCTACCAATCGTCCAAGATATAGAACAAGACACAATCCACAAGCACGTTTACCACCACAAACTACAACAACTACAACAGAGAAAACAAAACAAACTTCTCAAAAGCCTACCATTATATCAATTGAAAAATCACGGTCTAAAAGTTATTACGATGGGACCATAGCACCACCTGTTGTGAATATCACAAACTCTTATAATCCTCGTGTAAATAAATTCAGTATACAGACACGAACCCCACTAGTAGTACGGCCTAGTAAGGATCAACTACCAAAAAGAACTACAAAAAGCGTGTTTGATACAACATATTTTAAGAGCCCAATTTTTGAAAAGGATATGACGTGGACCTTAAATAAATCCCAACAAAATATACCAAAAAATCATAAACTATACTGAAAAGTTCTTTTTCTTCTTACAAAAACTTACACATGAAACATTATAAATTCAATCCTATTTGCTAAGTTATTTATTGTACTGAATTAATTTAATATTAATTTTTATTAATATCCAAAACGAAAATAAAATTTTTTAAAATACAAAGTTTATTCTCGATGTCTTTCTTTTTTGGAAATTTTTGGGATTTCAAGTGACGTTAAACAAGTGAATTTTCGAAATAACACAGTAAGTCAGAGAGTAAGTAAAATCAACGTAGTTGTGCAGTAGCGTACATTGTCTTATATAAATAAACTATATATTTATTTAAAATTATATAAAAATCATGATTGAAATATTCAATAGTTTTTCAACTACTCAAATTAATTTAGTGTGGCCTTTGGCAAAAATTTAATTTATCTGATTTAATCTTCAAAAATCAATCCAGGGCATTCAATGTCACCAGGATTATTACTTTATTAAACAAGTGTTTTTGGCTAGAATTTAATAGATTTAATGGAATTATTTTAGATTTGAAAATGTTATTTATATTATATATTTATTAAGGATTTATTTTTAAATAAAAAATAATTAATTGTATTTTTTTAGCAACAAATAATTATCTAAATTACGCTTATAACAATAGTTTCAAATATTATTTTTGTTTTTTGAGTTGTTTTCAGCATCGTGTATTTTAATGTTCCAGCACAGTAAGTCGTTCGAAAAAGTCCGAACATTATACAATATTTGAACAGCAAGGACAAGAGCAAGAACATTCGAAAATAAATAAATCGAGTTCGAATATAATTTAACTGTTCACACATTGTAGTGCTTGTACAATGAGAATCACTACATATAACAAATAAATAAATATACTTACAATTTTTTCTATAAAATTGCGCCATTTTTTGCTTGTACTATACATTTGAAAATCATTAAAAAATACTGGTCCCGACGAAGTTGGTGGCAAATCTGGTAAATTTGTTTCCAAATTAAAAACATCTCGACATTTTTCCAATAAAGCTTTCATGACTGGCATAAGAAATGAGTATTCCTCGGGATTGCCAACTGAAACATACATAAAATATAATAAATGAAATAATAAATAATAAATGATAAAATTATTGCATTAAAACCAACCTTCAATTGCATTATCCAAGGCTCGATTAATACTATATAATAAATAAGCTAATTCTAGTGGATCATAAGTAGTGCGACTTTGTAATATAGCATGTAACTTTGCTGTAGCCATTGCAACAACACCAGGATTTGGATGATAAGAACATTTGAGTAATAAACCTAGACACAAGCGTATCATGTCAGACCACCCATCTGAAGACCCCTGTTGGAATATCATAAGTGCATCTAACAAAGCAAGGACTCCGTCAAGCAATTTTGTGGAGCACTTTTTTGATTCGTCTTCATTTGAACCCAATACAACTAAGTCATACACCATACGAAGAATTTGTGAAGCATTCTATAAATATAATGCTTTATATACATACTTTATATACATAAATACATACTTCTTGATTAATTAATGTCTGACTACCATGTTCGGATAAATCTAATAATGATGCTTGAACAGCCATTTCCAGTATTCGTAGTCGCAATGAAAGATGTGAAGTTACTAATTCATTATTTAATGCAAGTAAATTTATACAACCCAAGACTTGACCGCGTTCTATCCAGCAAAGTGGGTGATCATTGCTGACACCATTCCAGAAAATAGTAAATAAAACATTAGACACTAAATAAACTAACTGTTCTTCATTATCCACATCACCGTCAGCAGAGAAATCAAATGTTGCATTAGTCTAAAATAAGTTTTATTTTAATTAATTATTTAGAAAAAATATTTTATACGTTGAAAAAACAATTTTGATCAGAATAAACTTACCTCAATAGAATCACCTTTTTTCGTTACTGTTTGCGGAGATTGTGTTGTACTATCAGAGCTTACTGAATCTGTACGCTGACGTGAATGGTGCTGTAAAAAAAATGAAGTTAATTTTTGAAATAAGTTTGAAATTAATTATTTTTAAACAGACAACAATAAAAAAAATATTAATACAGAAATATCACAGTTTAATTCATAAAAAAAAATAAATAAATAGAGAACTTAAATTTTATATGCATGTGTACGCATAATCGATATTACGTTTATTATTATTATTATTTAACATAATTTTTTAACATATCTATTTTATATTATACATTGTTTATATTATAGTGTTTATATGTAATTTATTTTTAATATAAATACATTTACAATATAAATACAAAATTCAATTAATTAAAATAATATAAAAAAATAAAATTTGTTGTTGTATTTCACTACTGTTCGAAAAAACTTCTATGAAATATAACAAGTTTGCTATTAAAATAATAGTCACTTTCGTCTGGAATTTTTGACGTTAAATTACAACTTATATTCACAAAATATTGGTCTCGCCCGTGCGACTAGTGGAGTAACATTAGTATGACTTTCTCAGCATTACGTTCCTAGATTAGGTTCTATACATAAGAAAGAACAAATCGTGCAACAAATAATGCCTCTACGAACAGAATAGTATTGAAATTTAACAATTGAAAGTAAAA